ACACACACACACACACACGCATACGCACACATCACACTCACACACACACACACACACACACACACACACACACACACACACACGTGATTTTCAAGGCCGCGACTGTTTACGACGACGTCAGGGAATGACCCTTACTAGCTAGCCCTGCCTGGCCTGGATAGTGAGTGCTACCGGCTCGAAATACGCGCTGCTTGGTAGCATTTGGCTGGCGCCTACGACTGACGGCCATCGCCTTTCGCAGGGAACTGACCCCATCTGTTGACGTGTCATGCGTATTTCTCTACTGATTATCGGATTTAACTGCGTCAGAACCTCGTCATTTCACCGAACGTGTTGACATTATAAGGTGAGTAAGACGTACGCCATGTCGTTGCGCATAAATTATTTGCAGTTTTTCCCATCATCGACTATTTCGAGCTGGTTGCTAACCCCGGGTTGCTAACATTAGCGACAAACCATGATATCCGTTAGCTTATTCTAAGGGAAAACTATAGGCATACAAGGCCACGTAGGGTTAAAACACGCATTAAAATGGAAGGAATACTTGTTATTTTGTATCTCATCAAAAAAACCAATGATCAGGAAGACCTAACAAATGACTCTGATGAAGATGATGATGCCATTGTTGAGCAGAATGAGGATGTATGGTGAACATTTTGCCTAATCATTGAATCACCACTGTAAATTCCATTGACCAATTTTCTTGGTTTTGTATCAACTGTATAATAGCTTTATTAAACATTCATGAGTAAGCTTTAATAAAATTGTTATCTGTTATAAATTACGTTTGTTTGGTGTTAGTTTTATTTTGATGAGATTTAAAACTTCTTTTTCCAAAAGGCGCTAAATCCAAATTTTAATAGAAACCAAAAATTAATTAAAAATCAACCATGTAGGCCTACACTAGATTTCATTCAGGGGTGTTTTAATGCTTGGCACCATTCACTTCAAAAATGAAAGTGAAAGAACTGTGTTTCGGGCAAAGAAATCATTACAAAAATATAAATGTGATGATATCTTCATGTAATAATCTTCAATCTTATAAGTACAAAAGTGGATTTAACACGTTTTGGAAATCGGCTCTTCATATAGATATAGATATATTGTATATATATATACACACACACACACACACACACACACACACACACACACACACACACACACACACACACACACACACACACACTACACACACACACACACACACACACACACACACACACACATATATATATATATAAACAAAATAACGTGCATACGTGCGGGTGTGTCTGTACACACACACGTATGCACGCACGCACTAACGCACGTAGGCTCTACATACGCACGTAAATATACACGCACGCACGCGCGCGCGCACACACAGAGGTTATGCTTCATGTTTTATTGTTATGTGGTTGCGAAAAATATCGCATTGGGATTGGTGCAGAGCATGCCCCATTATCAACTGCTGAAAGTCAATAGCCGCTTTCACACGGAACAATTTTCCCGGTTCGAAAACAGTCCGAGACTGACCCGGATCATAAACTACACGGGTCGATTTTGAAGAGAGAGTTCACACGACGTTTGATCGATCAGTTTGAGGACATGCCTTGGTAAACGCCTTCCCAACACTTCGTCCAATTCCTTGACATAAATGCACGTTGTTCGTGCCCTTCCCGATCGGTTGTTGTTGTCTATCACCTTCTTATTAGTATTTCTTCCCGTTTGAGCCGATTGTTAACTTGTTGTACGGTTTTAACTATCCCTCGCTCAGCCAGTTTTTCAACAATTTTTCGGTAGGCTAGACGATTTCTCGAGGTTCCTGTTAACCGCGCCTGTATAAAATCCGATTTCCAAATCTCGCGAAGAGCGACGTTGTCCTCGTGAGAACACAGTCGATCAACCCCTTCTGCTGCTTTTTTGGGCATTAACTCAATAAAAATACTGAAAAACGCGCGTGTAGAAACTGAGAAATGCGGAAGTAAAGCGGAAGTCGACACTGAGGACATCTACCACCGTACTAATTTTGTCCCGTGTCGTGTGTCGGTGCACGTTACACGGTTACACGGTTACACGGTTACACGGTTACACGGTTACACGTTACACGGTTACACGGCAAAAATGAACCAGCGCTCGGGTCAATTTCGTACCGGATCAGAATTTTGTACCGAGAAAACGTCCGTGTGCACGCTTGGGACGGGAGAAATTTAGACCGGATCGTTTTCGACCCGGGACAAATGGCTCCGTGTGAACGAGGCTAATGTTGCCCGCTGAGTAGTGCTGCAGCCCGGCGGAAATATTTTCTCTCCACAGATAAATTCAAAGTAAAGCCATTCAAAACTGGCTTCTGCTAAATTTCCAAAACGTCGTATCGAACCTTATAGCAGGGCCGTATATAACTAGCGCCCTCACCAGAGAAATGGAGGTCAATGATCGCCAACTTCCCAGAACACAACACACATGTGGCTTTGCCCCCCCCCACCTTCCCGGAAAAAATGGGTCAGCTATACGCTCCTGTATTGTATCGTTTGCCGCACAATACGGCAGATGTCATAATCGATTTATTGACGTTAAAGGGTATGGTATAGAGAATTTCTTATCTATAAAAAAGAATGTGGAAGGCTACCTCACATTGGCTTCACTTACTCATGATTTTACATATAACAAGGGAATTAGTTCTTGGTTGTTCGGGCAACCCGGAGTTTTATGAGCCACGAAAATCGATGCTAACCTCGACCGCCACTCTCTGATAGAAATTCTAATCAACTTCCCTTTTGTTTGCGATGCAAGTGGCATGTAGCTGGCAATATGATGATCGAGGTTTCACTGAATGTTTAAATTAAAAAACAAAAAACAAACCAATACCTAATTATACACTATTCATATTTGTGGTATATATGAACAGATAAGATGTGTCTATCATGATCACTTCGTGCCGTCGTTTTCAGGTGAGTCAAGATGCCTTCGTTTACAGTGTCTAGTTCGGGGCAATTGGATAAGACTGTGTTGCATAAGTATTTATCTCTGGAGCAGCATAGTGCAGTGCAGTGCATGTACATCTGGATAGATGGCACGGGGGAGGCCATGAGAGCTAAAACAAAAACAGTCATGCAGGAGCCAAAGAGCCCTAAAGGTGGGTTAGTATACAGTATAGCACAAGTATGGTGAATGACTTAATCCTCATACCTAATCAGGTTGTCGCTCTATAAGGGTTCATTGCCACCCACAAATGATTTTCATTGCAGCTCAGTCATATTAATAAAATCGTTGAAAATACTAATAAGATCTGATAAGAGCTTGATAAGATATTGATAGGATAGACATCTTGATAAGAGAAGCCACAAAGTATAACAATGTTGACCTAGTCAGGTTTTGGAACATTCCTGTCATTTGGGTGCCTTTGTATGTATGTGTCTAAACGGTTAATTTTTTTGCAGAGTTGCCCATTTGGAATTTTGATGGCTCCAGTACTTACCAGGCTGAGGGAAGTAACAGTGATGTATACCTCTATCCTGTTGCAATTTACCAGGATCCATTCCGTGCTGGCAATAACAAATTGGTGCTCTGTGAAACTTACAAGTATAATAAGAAGCCCACAGGTTAGTACTGCCATGATATATGCCATTTGGATTTTGGAAGAATTGTGAATTATATTAATGCCCCGCATTACGAAAGCAATGTGTTCCAGAACAACCGTTCGTAACGCGAAATTCCGTGTCATAAATCTCGTTGTCCTATTGATTTCCATGATATAATTGGAGATGCACTCATGCGAAATGATTTTCGTTAAAAGAAAATAGGTAACTGTCCGCTTTTCTGTACGCTTACAAGCACAGTTGTAAATGTAGGTAAACATTAGCGAACTTGACCAGTTCATGGTTTAACACATGCCACGGAAACCAGAATAAGAATGAGTACCATGGTCATGGAGTACGCTAGGCGCACAGGATCGATGATAAATGCACAAATATCATTGCAAGTAAACGTTGTCAAACAAACGTATTGAATATTTAATAAAATAATACATGAAAGGAAGTTTTGAGTGAATAAATGCATTCATTTGAAAAATTACGTAAGAGCGAATTTTCGTTCCGTATCACGAGTGGTAATAATTCAAAATGTGGGTGGTATTGCAACGTTAGGGTATTGCTGTACGTATTATGTGGCTTTGCAATATCATTTTTTTAAATAAATTCAGACTTACATGGCTTCAATTTAAACATATGCATTGCACCATTGCACATTGCAAATATGCATTGCAATTTAAATATATTTAAATTGAAGCCATGTAAGTCTGAATTTATTAAAAAAAGATCATTAAGTCAAAGATAAAAAGTAACTGAATATAGAATAATTGAGTCATTATTTACAGAACTGGGATGCTCACCATAATGGGATAATTTATTACTTGGTAGAAATAACCCTTTACGTCTAGTGCTGTTTTGAGCATTAACATTTTATTCATTTTTGGACAGACACCAACCGCAGGCACACCAGTGTTGTAGTCATGGAGAAAGCAAAGGACGCTCATCCTTGGTTTGGCATTGAGCAAGAGTACACCTTGCTCGACATCGATAGTCACCCTCTCGGCTGGCCTAAAAACGGGTTCCCTGGACCTCAGGGTAAATACATATAGTACCGTATTACCGCCTCCCGACAGCTTAACTACTTTTATCTCCCCTTAAGCCACGCTTAGATTATCACGCATCACATAATTTCGGGTATCGTATCTGCTTCAGCCCTACAATAGGCGCATAGTAAATTAAGTAATATATACATATGTATGTAAAAATGTTTATATGTGGGCATTGCAATCGGCATGCGTTTGTTGCATCCACAGGTTGCAGCAAAGAACAGACATTTCAATAAAATCCTTAAAAATACGATAGAAACTGACTAAAAATAATAACTTATCCATAAATGTGGCTGCATGCATGATGTCTGATTACAGGACCATACTACTGCGGTGTTGGTGCAGACAAAGTAAATGGTAGAGACGTCGTTGAGGCGCACTACCGGGCTTGCATGCATGCTGGCATAAATATTTCCGGCACAAATGCAGAAGTCATGCCAGCTCAGGTATTGCTGTCAGCGGTCGAGCCTATCATCTAAGAGTAAAGGGAATAGTGTTTGTGATACAAAATATTCTCACTGTTTATGTAACTACTCAAACTATTGTCACCTTTATGAATGATGCAAATTCCTAACCACGTTCCCCCACAAAATTATAGAAAAGGAACGATACTGCTTCTAAAAGCAACTTTTCAAAGCAATTGTAGCTTTTATGCTGGACAGTCCGTCTCAAATAGGTGTGCAGCCCTCAATACAGGTCATGGGATACAGCTGCAGCGGTACGGTCGCGCATTCTCAACAACACATAGACGCTGCAACACTGGCCAATGCAAATCCACTGAAATGAACAAATATGCGCTCTTAGCAACAGGAGCATGTGACTTTCCAGGGTGATAAACACCGTCAGAGCGCAGTTTACTGTCATGTCGCAAAACATACTAGTATCGTTACCTGCCCAAGGTATCATCGGCCAGTTTAGGCTAATACAAATAAAACCAGTAGATAACGAGCATGTTGAGGGCCTCAAGTATTATGTGTTTACACGAGCAAAGTAATTTGTCATTTTCCTCCTGGTGTTTATCCAGGGGCGGATTAAGGCTCACTGGTGACCAATCTTGGTGCCCCCTCCTTTCCACACTGGCCCAGTCCATTTTAGTTGTTGACCTGTCTGACCAAATATACAATGCAGGTTGCAACAGTACACAAATTTATGTAGAATTTCATGGAGGGTGGTGATAAACAGGCGGGGGGGTATGGGGTCCTCCCCCAGAAATTTTTAAAAATGTAGATCGCAGGAGATGGTATTTGAGGCAATTTTGAGCGTACATGCATGTACACCTTTATTCTGACTACGAGTCAATCTATTTGGTTTTTTTACACGTTTCAGTTGTGAGAAAGACCTCTCTGTTGTGCAGTTGGTGACCATTAATGTTAAAAATATTCTTAAGGCAATTTCAACATTTGGAAAGGCCCTCTCTATTTTTTGTCTTCTGTAATTGTGTTGTAAAGTTCCATGTGAGTGAAAGATGTTTTCTTGGTTGTTTTAAACTTATGAAGAACATAAGAATGGAACTGCTGAAGCTCAGTAGACAAAGTGTTGTTCATGTCATCTGGATAAGCATCAATGAGTGTTTGACAAGTCTTTGAGTACCTTTCACTTTCTGATAATTGGGAATTAGCACCTTGTTGGGTGGCATTAGGGGCCCCTTCTATTGTATTGTATTGTTGGGGCCCCTTGTGGTACACCTGGGAAGTACAAATTTTTATTCTTTTTTTTTTCTTTTCACCCTTTTCCCAACTTTGTGGTGCCCCCTTTGGCCCTGGTGCCCTAAGCACGTGCTTAGTCTGCTTAATGGTTAATCCGGCACTGTGTTTATCTACCAGTCAGACATTTCACCGAGAATTTCCAGCAAGGATACAAACAGAACATTATAAGTAATTACTAACATTGTGGTAACGGTTCATTCACACTAGAGGTATTGTCTTACGATGAATGACCATCAAGTTAAGCGCTGCGGTTACTGAGTTTCCCAAGGAATGGAATTCATCACCTAGAGCTTAAGAACTCGTTTCAATTTACAGTGGGAGTTTCAAGTCGGTCCCTGTGAGGGCATCTCGATGGGGGATGAACTGTGGGCGGCTCGATTCCTGCTGCACCGGACTAGCGAGGATTTCGGCGTTGTAGCTTCCTTGGACCCTAAGCCAATGGAGGGTGACTGGAATGGGGCGGGAGCACATTGCAACTACAGCACTCAAGCTATGAGGGAACCGGGTGGCATTGGGTGAGACATGCAATTATAACATGATGAAAGGTGACCAGCGTGATAATACTTGCGCACTGTGGTTATAATACGCCCAGAAAAAATGTGTGTTAGTGGGTCAGTACTTTCACTGCATCCTTGTATCAGAAGCGTAGCTAGCCCATTCTGCCTGGAAGTAGGGGCAAGCTGCCAAGTGCGGGCTTTGTGTTTTGGCAAGGTGACTGCCGTTGAACGTGAAGGTCTCTGAGGGGAGAGGGGGCAGATTCTCCATTGCCACCTCCACTCCGCTAGCTACGGCCCTGCAATACCCATAACATTCATTATTAAAACAACTGAATAAATATATATATAGCTGCTTACCTTACTGCGTTAGCGTTATGTTATAATGTGTACGTATCTACAATGCAATAAACCCGTTATCTATATTTCTATCAACCTGATTTCGCTCCTGCACAGGGCCATCGAGGTAGCGATAGAGAAGCTGTCGCATCACCACGTGCGCCACATCAAGGCGTACGACCCGAAGGAGGGCAAAGACAACGAGCGCCGACTGACCGGTGCCCACGAGACGTCCAGCATCCACGACTTCAGTGCCGGCGTTGCTAACCGTGGCTGCAGCATCCGCATCCCGCGCAACGTGAGTGAAGCCCAGCTAAAGCCATAAGCAATCCTTCCTATTGTCTGTTGTGCAGACGTACAGCCACTCGCTGCTTGTGCGTCTCGATCTACTATTTTCAAAATGGCGGCGAGGTGGATGAAAAATGGGACTCATGCAGTCACGTGTAATTCACGAATTTATGTTTGGACAGTTCAATTTTTACATCTGCAATACAGGCTACTGATCTGGTGAAGATAATCCTCATTTTACGCCCCAGTCATAGCATATGAGCACCTTGGTGTTAAATCATCGTATCAACGCGCAAGGTACTTATCATCCGTACATTTATTGATCTGTAGGTCGTCGAGGATGGTTGTGGTTATCTGGAGGATCGCCGTCCCTCCTCCAATTGTGACCCATACGCTGTTACGGAGGTGATAGTCAGGACAACAGTGCTTGAAGACTAGATGTGTTGTTACGGCTAACAACAACTATAACCGTCGTGCATGGTGTGGGCTTTTACCTTTTCAATACACACACACACACACACACACGCAAGCACGCCGCATGCACGCATGCACGCACGCACGCACGCACACATATAATTATTACCATAACATAAAATTATATAAATTAATAATACAATAATATACCATAAATTATTACTATAATTGTAAAATTAAATGCATAGCAAATGTCGTAGACTTTCCCATTGAATTGTCTATGCATCTAACACTGAGTAACAGTTATAGGAATCAACTAATACTCTTTGCAACGAGCTAAGTGCATTCTTTCATTTACAACTAAAATGCATAAGGAACATTTCGATCATGGCTGGTTTACACACATATATTTTGTTCATAATTTTGTAAGCTATAAACATAATGTTACTCATGATACACAATTAATGTAATGCCGGTTAGTTGAAATACTTTGAATATAGTTACCTTCGCCCAACGGAGTTGGAGGAGGTTATGTGATCGCTCTGGTGTGTTTGCGTTACACTGGTACCCGCTCCCACCTCGATTCCCCCATCGAGTAACTAAGCCGAGAGGTGGGACCGGGTACCAGTCTAGTGTTCGTGTTTTCGTGTGCGCGATCTATATTGGCCAGCGAGCCACCCATCGCGCGAGTTTTTAAACCGTAGGATGGCGACGAGTATGGATGGCGATGGTACGAACCCTAACCCTAACCCTAACCCTAACCCAACGCACCAATCAGAGACGCGTGATTCATCAATCTGGCGTCGCCATCCTACGGTTTAAAAACTCGTGCGCGTCAGCGAGCGAGCCGGCAGTCAGCGCAGCGTGTACATGTGAGCGAGCTGCAGCAACGAGCGGCTGCTACGAGCTATGTCGCTGGTGGAGGTATGCACTCTCCGTTGAGTGCCCTCTGTCTAGTTATATATTCATTGTTGTCGATATCGTTAATCAGATATTTGCCAAGATAATCAATGTGTATACTGTGTTTGTATGTTTACCCCGTACTGACTACATGGTACAAAATTTTTGCAGTGTACGCGCTATCCCGCTCCAAATACGCGTTGACCCGTACCAATTTGGCCCCGCAAATGAAGGAGGGCCAGGTCCGGGATGCGAAATTTTTTTTCCCACTTGAGTTCCGGACCCACCATAGATAGTGTTTTGTAATAAATGGTTCTTATATATATGGTTGGATTATAGTTAGCGTTAGGGTTCGGTTACGTGTTAGGGTTAGGGTTAGGGATAGGAGGTATTCATTTTAATGGAGTGCGCTGATTGGCTGTGGTCCAGAACTCAAGTGGGGAAAAAAATTTTGCGTCCGGGATAAGTTATCCCGCACCAAACTGTGTCTGTACGCAACACGCGGGCCAGCTGTCTGTGCGGTGACATAGCGAGAACTGATGACTCATTGAATGCAGGATCAAAGATACACTCGCAGTCTGTACGCTACGATTTGGCGCGCGCAAGTTTTATACCATATCAAATTTTGCAGTCTGTACAGGGTATTAAACCTTGTCGATTATTGTAATCACGTGAATTCATCATATTAAACATGTCTACGTTAGTAACTAGCTGCACTTAGAATATGAAATGCAACATTTTTATGAAGATTAGTAGCAATTAACTTGCGAACACTGAAGACTCGGACCAAGTGATAGTTTTATTTATTACTACAATAGGCTATCAAAATGGCGTAACACGTTGCACGATATGATGGAGGCTATTTTTGGTATCAGTGAACAAAAGGAATCCCAATAGCCAATAGTGGAACCCAGTGGGCCCTTTTGAAAATTCTGAAATGGCATTGTTAAAGAAAAACCGGTAGAGAGTACCTACTTGCGTATTCAGAGTATGTATATAGATATGGTAATATTACTATAAACTACCAGTTACGTATACTATCTGTAATATGTTCGTGTAAATGTTCACGTTCATGTTCAATTAAAAACGAGAGTATGTATCTAATATCGTTCAATGGCGTAACTGCATACACATTTGTTGCAAAATGAATAGATTATATCAAGATCACAAAACCATGTACCATAAACTACAGGTTATATGCTCCTGATCGTATAAATTACATGTGACGTATTTTATTTAGACTTTAGAGTAATGAAAACATTACTAGATTCTGTTGATGCACGCACGTAAACACAC